GAGGAGGATGAGGAGGATGAGGATGAGGATGAGGACGAGGAGGATGAGGATGAGAATGATGAGGAGGAGGAGGAGGAGGGGAAGATTGTGGTGCAGAAGAAAATGATGATGAAGACGATGGCGATGATGACCGTCATGGTCATGACCTGATGAGGATGAAGACGATTGCAATGATGACCATGGTGGTCATGACGATCACCACGAACATGACGATGCTGACGACGGTAACGGCGATGAGTAAAGCGGGAGCAAGAGTATGGGCGTGGTGGTGGTGGCGGTGGTGGTGGCGATTGCTGTCTTACTGAAGGTACGGAGGATGCGAGGAGGGGGAGGAGGAAGAGAAAATAAACGAGGAGGAGGAGGAGGAGGGGACTGAGGTTACACCTTCAGAAGGATGACATTCCAACTAGTTACCACGCTTCTAGATGGTACCAGAGTGACAATGAGAACCGCAGTATAGATTCGTTGCGAAATGCGGCATCACCGGCTACTACCTCTTGATTGTCCTGAAAATGTCCTGCACATGAGACCTGATCCCTAAAGCCCTGAAGCCCTACGACCATGAGCCTTAAAACGTAAACCTAATGTAGGGGCCTTAAAAATTAGAATAGGGTTTTGGGCTCCTTTATAATACTATCATAATAAGGAACCCTAGCAGTAATATTGGTAAGTATGTTGGCTTCTACATTAAACTTCAAGCGACCACCCGTTGTGCGGCTGAGCGGCTCTTGGGTGGTGCCTGAGACGAGCACTCACAGTTTTAGAGTTTAGGGTTTAGGGTTTAGGGTTGAGGGTTGAGCTGAGTCTTGGGAATTCGTCCGCAGCTGCTTGGGGTTTCATGTTAGGTAAGGTCAAACGACGTTATATTCGGTTAGGTCAAACAAGGCCATCCTAGTACTTGCCAAGGTATAACGTTGGATCAAGCTATGTTGAGTTTCTTCGGAGCAGGTGCGACTATGGCTTACGTTCATCCGCAGGCTAGGTTAGGTTTGGCTCGGTTAGGTTAACTTAGGCTGAGGTATATTTGGCTGCGTTATAACAGTTTGGTCAAGTCGATTAACCGGATTAGGTTAGATCGAGACGGATCACATTAGGATGCATCAAGGCTATTTTACTTTGGTTCGGTTGTGTTAGGTTGAGTTAGATTAGTTTAGGTTAGGCTAGGTTAGGTTCGGTTAGGTTATGTTAGGCTATGTTCGGTAAGGTTAGGTTTGGTTATAGTTTCACCCTGGGTGGCAGGAACAGCTAGCAAATCGCGAGGTCGCGAGTTGAATACGATGAGGCTAGGTTAGTTTAGGTTAGGCTAGCTTAGGTTAGGTTAGGTTAGGCTCGTCAAACCAAACCAAACCTGACGTAATCTAACCTATCCTAGACCAAACCTATGCATGATCAACTGGCCTGAACGAATCTATTCTCACAGAATGTAAGCGATTTTTGCGATCTCAACATAATACAACTAATCAGGCTAACCCAACATGACCTACCCTCACCTAGCCTAGCCTAAGCTAACCTACACTGACCTAGTCTAACCTAAGGACCTAGTCGAATCCAAACTAACCTAACATAACCCAGCCTAGCCACGCCTAGGCTTACCTAACCTAGCCTGGTCTAGCCTAACCTGATCTAAACTTACGTAACCTAATAGCCTAGAATAGCCTAACCTAACCTAGCCTAACCTAAATTGTAGGTTATATTCGGTTAGATCAGGCTAGGTTAGGTTAGGTTGGATTGGGTTAGGTTATGTTAGTATACATTCGTTTAGGTCATGTCTGGTTACGTTCAGATGCATCAGATTATGCTAGGCAAAGCTGTTAGGTTAGGTCCGTTTAAGTCAGAATAGGTTGCCTTAGTCGTTGAAGGGGAAGTAACTGGGTAAACTGAGGTGAAGTGAGAATATTTCTAATTGCCGGTGTGGCGCGAAAAGAATCGGCTCTTAATATTTTACGATAGCTGATGACTTTAGATTGGGTTGGGTTAGGTTAGGTTGGCTTCGTTAGGCTGGGCTGGGATAAAAAATCAGTTTGAATAGAAAACTCCGTTTAGGACAAACCCAGCCTCCTGAGCACGATCGACCATGCATGCCAGGATGGAAATAAGCTCTGAGTTCTCCTTCAGATGAACAGCGAAGATCACCGGCAGAATGGTCGTTCGAGGTAGATGCTTTTCGACATCACAGCCAGCAATGCCCAGAGCCAGCAGAGCCCATTCATCGGCAAACAGTTTGTACCTTGTCCCCAAAAAGAAAAAGTTAGGATTTGAATAATTCTCCTCTTCCCCCCAAAGTGATGATGCTTACATGGCTTACATCCATGCTTATGGAGAACAAGGTTCGTGGCGAACAAGAAAAATCCCAAAACCCTAAAGTCTAAGCCCAAACCCTGCAGAAAGAGGTAGCCCACTAAGAGTCATCAGAAGCAGCTGGAGTTGCTGCTGCTGCCATTGCGGCAGCTTCCGCTTGCCTAAACCCTCGGTGTAGGGTGTAGAGTTTCGGGTTTAGCGCCCGTGGTTTGGGGTTTTTTGGTTTCGGGTGCTACGTTCCTCGAGTACAGTAGTGTTATGTCTTTGTGCATTTTTAGAATATGTTGTGATTACCGTTCGTCTTATGACTTTACCAAGCCTACGACTACTACCCCTGAACCCTCGGAAGCCCAACACCGCAGCCCCAAACCCCGAAACCATAAACCCAACATCCCAAAAGCCCTAAACGCTAAACTCTAACTCTAAGCCCTTAAAGGTTTTAGGGTTTAGGGCTTGGGGTTTAGGATTTGGGTTTAGCTCTAACTCTAAACCCTTAAAACCTAAACCCCAAAACCGTAAACCCTAAACAGATGAACAGCCTGCTTCACGAGAACGAGAACCATGTGAGGCACAAAGAAGCGTACTTGCCAGGAATTGACACCTTCGCCACTGACCCAACTCTAAACCCCAAACCTTAAACCCAAATCCCTTCGTCCCCAAAGAGCCCAAATGCCCGCCACTACTGAAACTATAGACCTCATCCCTAAACCCTAAACCCTAAACCCTAAACCCTTTAGACCTCATCCCTACCAACACCAGGCAAAGGCGCCTCCTCCTCCTTTCCCATCGCCTGCTTCAGCTCCTTCATCCTCGGCTGAAAGGGGTTCCTTTAAGAGCTCCTTTCTAGGTTGACTATAGTTTAGGGTTTAGGGTTTAGGGTTTAGGGTTTAGGGTTTAGGGTTTAGGGTTCTAAAGTAGGCTCCCTTTAAAAGGGAACTATAGAGTTCTATAATCGGCTCCCTTTAAAGGGAACTGTAGGGGTTCTACGACAAACAACAACCCAAACCCCAAAGGGCACCCCTATACTCAAAAAGAATAAACTCCAAAGCCCCTGCCCAAAGGGCTAACATCCCAAGCTCCGACATAAAAACCGTCAAAACCCCTATAAGCCAGATCCCGAAGCATCCAATATCCAATAACCTTCATCTCGAAACCCCCAAAAGCACGTGAACCCAAACGCGCAACACCCCGAAGCCCTAAAACTTTAAAACCGAAAGCCCAAAAGCCTCGCCAACCAAAGCCCGCTCGACCCCGAAAAGCCCAAAAAACACCACCCCACAGAAGCCTTCAAACCCAGAAGCCCTAAACCCCTAAACCCCCTAAGCCCCAAAGCCCTAAAACACAAAAGCCCAAAACCCCAAATCCCTAAAACCACAAGATGCTCACAGATCGTGCCAGGACCATTTAAAAGCTCTGAAGGCAAGCTGGCGAACCACTGTGGTGCGACACCTTTACCCTAAACCCTAAACCGCCCTAAACCCCAAACCCTGAACCCAAGCACAGCCGAGCAACCCCAAAGCCCTTAAACCCGGACAACAAGATGCCCAACAGCCCAAAAAAAAAACTGAAACCCTACCAAAAATCCCCTTAAAAAGCCCAATCAGAACCCCATCAAAACCTAAATAATTTTTTAAAAAAAAACTAAACACTAAACCCGAAACCCCAACAACATTCACTGCAGCCCGAAGCGCAGCGCGGCTTTGCCAACAGCCTTGGCATCCTCCTGGGGTGTCGCAGACGCGGCCTGGGAAGAACTCTCTTACAGGTTCCCTTATAAGGGTCCTTTTAGGGTTTGGGGTTTAGGGTCTAGGGGTTTAGGGTTTAGGGTTTAGGGTTTAGGGTTTAGGGTTTTAGTCTAGGGCTCCTCTTGAGGGAATCTATGGGGCTTTAGGGGAAGAGAGTTTAGAGTTGAGGGTTCTAGGACGAGATTTATACGGGGTGTAGTTTCTGTAGGGTTCAGGGTCTCGTTTCTCGGGTTCAGAGTAAGACTCGAGCAAAGAGTTTAGGGTTTAGGGTGTAGGGGGTGCTTGTAGGTGTTTGTGAAGGCCGCTCATAGGGAGTCAATACCACTCTGACTTGAAAATGAGTCGTTATAGGGTCTCAGGGTTCAAGAGTAGGGAAGCTTGAGCATGCTAGCTCTATCCGGAGAGTTTTAGGGTTTCGGGTTTATGGTCTATCCGGAGGGGTTTCTATGTGGTCTTCACAGTGCTTTGCCTTGGCATTATGCTGCTACGAAGGGGTAGGGTTGGAATACGAGGCTGGGGAATCAGATCGTGTTTGGTTGCGCAAAAGGTTTGTGTGAGTTATGCCTACATACAAGGACAACCCAAAACCCTAAACCCTAAAACGCCTATTATTTCTATTCTACGAACTTTTCACCCAGACTACCGCAGAGCATGTCAAGGGTCAAAGCATGCCCCCTCTGGCGTTGCGACATGCGGAATTGCCAGGGCACGTATTTAATGCAGGGCTTTGCGGGATCGCGAAACCAAGCATTGACCAGGCTGAGCAGGCAGATGCTGGGCATGCTGTTGTTGTAGGTGGTGCCGCGCTCGAGGATGCTGGCGCCGTTCCTGGCGGTGAGTGCGGCTCTGCTGTACGAGACAGTTCCGCCTCGTATTGCTTGGCTCTAATTTGTGCTTGCACCAGTGCCCGGCAGAGCCGTGCCATGGGCATGCTGTGCGGCGGGTCCGTAATGCCCTGCGACGCCCAAAACTCGTCACCTTTGCTGGTTGCGGAGCTGTCCAGATCCACCGTAGTGTTGTATGCATATGCGAAATCTGCGATGCAGCGGATACCCTGTGCATGCAGTGCCTCCTCAAAGGTGACTGTACCTTAGAACGGGCCGTGGCCGCTGCCTGCCAAGGGATTTAGGGTTTGGGGTTTAGGCGCCCTGCCTGCCAAGGGATTTAGGGTTTAGGGTTTAGGGTTTAGGCCCCCTGCCTGCCAAGGGATTTAGGGTTTAGGGTTTATAGAGTTTAGGGTTTAGGGTTTAGCATGCACAAGTTTCAAAGCGCAGGATTCCATGCCCTACAGATGCTCACGAAGAAGATGCACTCGGCTGCTTTCAGCGCGATCTTCTGAGAGAGGATGTTCAGAGCGGGGTGTTCGTTTCAGCGGTGGAACGCAAGCCTGAACATCAGCCACACAAGGTGTAGAAAATCTTTTTAGACCGCAACCTGCTTGTCAGTATCCATGCGGTTTAGGGTTCAGGGTTCAGCCGGTTAGCCCATACTCAGCGACTCTTACGGATTTCTGACAGCCATGCCAGCTCAGCGCGAGAATGTACTGATCGAAGAGACTGTGCTGTGAATTGAAATCTCTATATTATACCCTAAACCCTAAACCAGACCAAGCAGCCAACGCCCAGCTTCTTCAGAGAACTGAGCCGAGTCCACCCCTTCTCCAAGCACTTTTCATTCTACTGCTGCTCTGGACATGTAGCTGCTTGCGGAAATACCCATTCGAGTTTTATCCTAAGTTTTGAAGACTTCCATCACGAACCCCAGGCCCTGGGCCCCAAAAACTAAACCCCTCAACCCTAAAACCCTCAACCCCAAACCCTAAATGCCGAAATCTTAAACACTAAGCATTTCACCCTAAACCCGGAACCGATAATCCCTGAAGCTTAGACTTAAACCGGAACCAAGGCCCTGGACTCCCGGAACACGAAGTCGCAGGCTCCCTGCAAACGCGGAACCCGCCAAAGCCGGGTTTAGGGTTTAGGGTTTAGGGGTTTAGGGGTTTAGGGGTTTAGGGTTTAGGGGTCCGGGGTTAAGAGACTCTTTGAACGCTACATCACCACTGCCCCCGACATGAGCACACCAAAGTTTGGGTCGAAACGTGGTTCTAAGCGATTAGCAAGGTCTAGGGTTTAGGGTTTAGGGTTTAGGGTTTAGAGTTTAGGGTTTAGGGTTTAGGGTTTAGGGCCCCCTAAACCGCACACCACAAAATCCCAAACCGTAGAAAACTTCACTGCGCTACTTGGAGGTTCATGGGTAGTTATAAGGGGGGCTATAAGTCCCCTAATATTATGGGGTTTTTGTCCCCGAATATTATGGGCTATAAGTCCCATGGGTTATAAGTGTCTAATCTTATAGTTTCCTAATAATATGCGTTATAATCATAGTTAGCCTCCTTATAACCCCACTTGTACCTACCCTTGAACCTCCAACTAAAAGCTCTGTGGGGCCCGAACCGCTTGCTCCTCAGCGCGCTTTTTGGCGGCTTCCTCTCGTCGCTTCTTCACCTGATTAGGGTGTAGGGTTGTTAACTCCGGGTTTCGGCTTCAGTCAGGGTTGAGAATACCCACAAAACCCCAAAACCCCTTAATCAAGGAATCTACCTTGAAGTAGAGAGGGATCCTTGGTAGAACTGAAGGCATACAGCCTAATTTAAGGGGTAAACCCTAAACCCGAAACCCTAAACCCAAAACTTTAAACCCTAAACCCTAAACCGTCGCTGGGTTCTTGTTGGGGTATTAGGGTTGAGGGCTTTGGGGGTCTAGGGCGTAGAGGCTCCTGGGGTCTTAGTTGGAGGTTTAGGGTTTAGGGTTTAGGGTTTAGGGTGTAGGGTTTAGGGTTTAGGGGCTTTTGGATAAGAAACTTGATTTGAGTTATCATGCTTACTCGGGACTCTGGTAATTATATGCTGTGGTTGTTGTTGTAGTAAGTATCCTACCTTAGCAAGATCACAGGTCAAATCATACGATGCATGCTTCCAGGTATGAGCGCGCACACGTACACACACACACACACCCGTGGACGTGTGTGCGCGTGTGTGCTTGCAGACAACTGTGGCAAGTGCAGCTGTTACGTTTTTCGTTTGCTAGACAGCTGGCCAGCCAGCTCGTGTAGGTAGGAGGTAGATAGGTACACCGTAGATAGGTAGCCTGCAGGTAGACAGGTAGATATGTACTTACATAAATAGATAGACGGATGGATGGATAGATGGGAAACATAGATCGCGAGATAGACAGACAGAAAGATAGAGAGAGAGAGAGAAAGAGGAAAGAGAGAGATGGTTGGATGCATGGCGAAGGATCCAAATCTGAACCGCTAAAGGCTCTAAACCTTGAGCCCCCAAACCCTCAACTCTGAAGTAAAAGCATAGCGCCTCTGAGATGATTGATTTAGAGGGTCCACTCAAGCAAAACCCTCACAAACCGTAAACCGTAAGCCCTAAATCTGAAACCCTGAAGCCCAGCAATTTGGAAGACGGAGAGAGCCCAACTTCCCTGAGTTCAGTGTCCCTTGCGAATTGAGGCCCCAATCCCTAAATCCTTGAGGGGGCTTCCAGATGCCGGTTGTAGAGCTTCGAAGGTGTGATTAATGAGGGGCTGCGGGTTTTGGCAGTTTCCCAAACCCCTACAGGCTTAAACCCTAAACCAGGTTTTAGCACTGATGCCCTTCTTGAAGCTCGAAGCCTTCCTTGAAGGAAGCACCCCTGAACCCTACCTATAAACCTCGACAACGACCCTGACAGAAGTCGATGTTGGAGTCTTCAGTTGCTGGCCCCTAAACCGTAACACCCTAAACCCCTAACACCCTAAACCCCCAAAGTACTCTTTTAGATCCCTTCTAGATCCCTTAATAGTAGCCCTAAGCCCTAAACCCTAAACCCTAAATCCTAAACCCTAAACTCTCAACCCTCAACCCTAAAACCCTGAAGCCCTCAACCCTAAACCCTAAACCCTCAACACCTAAAACCCTGAAACCCTCAACCCCAAACCCTAAACCCTAAAACCCAAAACCCTAAAACCCTAAAACGTAAAACCTCTAACGCTGACCCCGAAAACCTAAAACCCTAAACCCTAAACCCTATAGTACCCTTTTCCGACCCCTTCTTGAGAGCCCTAAAACGTCCCGTTATGGGCCTCCTCCAAGCGCTTTAGGTCGGCTTTCGCCTCGTCCGTCTTGCCCGCCTTCCGCGCTTTTAGCGGTTTAGGGTTTAGGGCTTTAGGGGTTTAGGGCTTTAGGGTTTTAGGGGTTTAGGGTTTTAGGGTTTTAGAATTTAGGGTTTTAGAATTTAGGGTTTAGGGGCTTAGGGTTCAGGTAGGGCAGGGCTTATAATATTACGTGCAATAGGGTTTGGGGGCCCACTATACTATACTTATACTAAGGAGCCCCCCAAAATCATATAGGTAAATCGGGCTTAGAGCTTACCTGGACCCTGAAGAACCTACCTTTTTTCGGGCTCCTTATTATGATTTCTTTATATAAGTCCTTTCAAAGGCAGGTTAAGTAACTTGTGGTCAAAGTAGGGCTTAATGTAGGGGCCTGAACAATTACCTATGTTATTTTCGGGGTTCCTGATTATATTTAGAGTATAACGGGCCCCCAAAAACTATACAAACATTAACCTGGTTCACTTTGCAACCTCCCACGACGGTGTTCACCTGAGACCTTGCAGGCTTGTCAGGATGTAGGGCAGCTTGAAACCTAGAATCAGCCGCTATTTCCACTCCAATCTTCTCTCTGACCTCTTACTCAGCATGTTCATGACTGTTGGCGCCGATGGCACCGTGTCTACGGCAGCATTATGAAGCCAAGAGGATCCACATTTCCCCCATGCAGCATCGTCAGCACTAGTATCGTCCTACATTGCACACCAGGACCATAACATCTTGTATTGCTGCTGTTGGCTCTTCTACGATGCTTGCAGCTTGCATGCTAGCGCGTGCGTGCCCCTTCCGTGTTTCTGCGATGGCTACGGTTCACCCCAATCATCATCTCATGCCAGCCTTTCGCCTATAAGCCAAAAAGCGTGCAACTATACCAGCATCTTAATCTTGGGGCTGAAGGGCACCATTGTTGTATTCTCCGCAAGATCAATCCGGCCCGTCAGCTGCAGCGGGGGATTCTCCGAGACGCGACAGCCCAAGACCACAACTTACTTGCTGAGCTTCTTCTGCGAAGAACACCATCAACTTAGGGGCTGAGTACCCTAGCCCAAAACGGGCTAACCTTTTCAATCATGGTAGGATTATATAAACCCCAAAAGGTTAAAGGTTACCTACTCAGCCTCTAAGTCAAAGCCACCTTCAGGGCCAAGTCGGCGCCGTGGCTCTCGCCGCACGTGATCTTGACCTTGTACACCTTGCAATCGTTTCATGCCAGGTTGGGTGCTCTCCGCAACATGCTGAATCTTCAGTCATAAGCATCTTCCTAGCAGAAACAGGGCGAAGAAGCAATGGTTGCGCAGCGATTCGGTGCCTTCTTACGCCGATTGAGGTCTCGAAGATAAACAGCCAAGCCTACAGTTCTCAACCTCCCAAACCCCCCAAACCCTGAACAGCTTCCCAGTTACGCACCCGGACACTGAGTGCGGGGCCGTCCCATATCCCCCATGTGCCAGGCGATCGGAGACCTCACGACGTCTCAAGCTGGCCATTTTTTCAGGTTTAGGGTTTAGGGATTAGGGTTCAGGGTTTAGGGTTTAGGGTTTACGGATTAGGGTTCAGGGTTTAGGGTTCAGGGTTTAGGGTTCAGGGTTTAGGGTTCAGAGTTCAGGGTATAGGGTTCAGGGTTTAGGGATGAAGACGAAGTCTCGCTCTTCTCCGTCAAGGCATCACATGAGGGGGTGTCACGCCGCCCGGCCACCGGTTTCGAGGGGTTTTGGAAGGACGTAAAACTGTTGCGATAACACTGTCGTGTATGTTGCTCGTGAAACGGGACTCTTCTCTCTCTCTCTCTCTCTCTCTCTCTCTCTCTCTTCTGCACAGCCAAAGGAGAGCACGCATGCGCCCTCCTTGCGCTCTCTCTCTCTCTCTCGCTCTCTCTCTCTCTGTCTGTCTCTCGCTCGCGTTTATCTGTGAGCCGGTCGTTTGTCACAAACATGCTTGCTTGCTTGCTTGCTTGCTTGCTTGCTTGCTTGCTTGCTTGCTTGCTTGCTTGCTTGCTTGCTTGCTTGCTTCAATCCATGGAGAAAGCTGTATCCCGCTCTTTCTCTCATCCTCCCCCCCTTTGTTGTCTGCTGACAAATACGTTTGCACATGCCAAGCTGTTTCTGTTGACTGACCCCAAATCCAAAAAATCATTGAGCTCGATCAGTTCTATAGCACATATGGCTGCCCAAGTGATGCTCTTGAATGCGACCTCGCTGGCCACAGAGCTGGCGGTTTAGAGCTAGCGGTGCAGGGTCTGGGGGCTGGCGTCTTCTTAGGCCGAGGTTGCGGAGTCTCAGGGCCAAATCCATGAGCTTCAGGTTGTGTCCGATTTGGGGTTTAGAGGTTTGGGGTTGAAGCAGGGTCTATAGGGTTTACTATAGGGTGTCTCTTCCAAGGATGTCCACAGCATATGGTTTTGAGCTTCAGGGTTTGGGGTTTGGTGTCTAGGGCCAAACCAAAAACGGCAGACGGTCGGCTTCTAGCCAGATCATGGCGGTCCAAGAGACCAGGTGACACAACCCCCTTGTTAGGTAGCGTTAAATGGTATAAGTCCAAGAAGGTCGCCGAAGTTGCCTAATATAGGAGCTTTAACCGTTAGAATAAGGTCTTGGGGGTATATTATACCATAATTATAACCAGGAACCCCTAAAATAGTATAGGTAATCATTAAGGCCCCTATATTAAAATGCCATGATGAAAAGAGGCGCCTCGAGCCGTTGCTGCCACTCAGGAGGCAGCTCTGCCGGATCTGGGGGGGCTTAAGGGGGTCTCAATTTAATAATTAGAATAGGGTTTTGGGGGTATGTTATACTACAGTTCTACAAAGGAGCCCCAAAAAACCCTAAGCCCTAAGCCCTAAACCCTAAACCCTAAACCCTTCTGTGGTTCAGGCTGTATGATGTAGTAGCGAAGGGCTCAAGATTCACGGGGTCAGGCGCGGATCCTTTAGGGCTACGACAAAGGCTTATGTGGGTAGTTGTCAACATTAGGGTCCCTTTTGGGGTACCCTAAATAATAGGTGCCGTATTATAATAAGGACCCAAAAAGGGACCATAATTTTGACAACCACCCAAATGTGTTTAGGGTTTACGATGTACGGCTTAGGGTTTACGACCGAGGATTTTTTTGAGTCCCGTTGGCCTCCTCAGGCTCTAGCATTATTGATGCGGCTTTGGAGCTAACTGTACGGGAGCCTCAACCAGTAATACCAGGGTTTAGGGTTTAGGGGTTTAGGGGTTTAGGGGTTTAGGGGTTTAGGGTTTAGGGTTTAGGGGGTCTTGAGATTCCTATGATACGTCTACCCCACCTGTATCTTACAGGCAACACCCCTCTTCGCAGAATGTATTCCAAGGACCTCAGGGTTTGCCACCCAAAGCCCAACAAGAGTTGAAGCTATCCTCAGAGATTGCTACCTTGTCTTGGAAGTTCTGTGTGGCTCCACAGCACCTGCCCTTTTTCGAAATCCGTTTGCCCCAACGCTGCCTATACAAGCGAAACAGTGGACATCAATGAAACACAGCACAGCGAGCACTCGCGATACTGCACCGAAGAGCGCTTACCAACATCATCGTACGGAAATGTTTAGTGCGACCGCCAAGAGTGGACACTTGCCTTGGTCATGATCTTGCTGATAGTGATCACGGCTGCTATGATTGCTTCCGTTCTTGCTATTGCGGGGGTAGCTACAAGTGTTGCTATTGCTGGCATGGTTGTAGCCAGTAGTTACTGGCCAGTACCATAAGCCCTAACCCCTGACCCCGAACCCTAAACCCTATCCTCTACACCCCCAGCCCCTTTTGCCCTGCAAATCAGGTGACCGCCTTCCGCCGGCGGCCCTGCCCCGTCCGCGCTGGCAGAATTGAAGGCGTGCCGCCTTGCCAGTCCAAGTCTCTTTCCAAGAGTTCTTACACAAGTTACATTGAAGGGTAGGGGTCGGGGGGGTTAGGGGTTCTTACACCCTTCTAAAAGGTTGAAGATTTAGAGACATAGGGTCCAATGGGTGTAAGGGCCTTAGGCCGTAGGCTTTGACAGCTTCCCCGGCTGCCGAACATGTCGTGGGCCTTGCCATTGCTTCCCTGAATCGGCTTCCAGGGGTCGAGATGAGAGGTTGCATGGGATTGTGGGTGCAAATAGAATGGGGTTTTGGGGGGTTCCTTACTACCTTAAGAACCCAAAACCCACTTTTTTGTCGGTTCTTACTATAAACCCTAATATGGGATTTATAGGGACCCTACAAAAAAAGTAGGTTTTGGGTCCTGAAGGAATAAGCAAGGTACAATCGGCCCCAAAGCCCTAGACAAATTATGAAGGCCCCTATAACGAGGCAAGACTGAGAGACTTGAAACTCTTGGAGTTCTCAAGTACTCATACGGTTTAGGGTGTAGGGTTTAGGGTTTACCTACAGGGTCATACCCTACCCCTTTTTTAAGGTACCTAGTTTTGTGGTTAGGAACTGCTATATAAAAAAGTAGGTACCCTAAAAAAGGTGTAAGGTATGACCCTATAGGTAGGGTTTAGGCATGAGACTTTGGGGCGCAAACGGGGAACACCGATGCTGTCCACGAGCGTTCTTCCGCTTCGGAACCTCAAACACAACCCCAACCTTCAACTTCACCACCACCCAGAAGGCCAAGACCCCACCCAAAAAAAATCCAAGGCCCCGTTTTTGGGGGGTTCCTTATTATGATAGTATAATGGGCCCCCCCAAACCCTCGTCTAATTATTAAGGCCCTTCTTTGAGGGGAGGGTGCAGATCGGAGCGCAAGGATGCCAGACAGCTGCAGCCCTAAGATTGAAGCAGCGAAAGCAAAAGCGCTCGACGGCCCCAATCATAGGCTTTATAGGGCCTTTAGGGTTCGGGGGTTAGGGTTTTACGCTAGGGCTCCAAGTATACAAACAGAACCTACTTTGGGGTCGAAAGTCTGTAAATAGTACCTACTTTGGGCTTTTTGGAGCCCCAGCCAGGGTTCGGGTTTGAGATCGTGGCTGAAGCTTCGACATAAGGTGGCTTGCAATGCATCGACCCATGGCCCCCTGGATGTCTTCGAATAAGGGGGGCTTGCGGGGGCTGAAAAGAACCCTAAACCCTAAACCTCTCTAAACCCTAAACCCTAAACCTCTCTAAACCCTAAATCCCAAGCCCTAAACTTACAAACCCAAGCCCTTAACCCTAATCCTCTGAACCCTAAACCCTAAAGCCCTATAAACCCCTAAACCCCAAGCCCTAAACTTCCAAACCCCAAGCCCTGGACTCCTAAACCCTAAACCCCAAGCCCTAAACCCCTATATAACCCCATAAAGCCCTAAACTCCTAAACCCTAGACCCTGAAAAGAACAAGGCCGCGTACTTCTACGGCCTTCAGCACTGGAGCCGAAGACTCTCGAAAGTTTAGGGTTTACGGCCTTCAGGGTTCGGGGTTTAGGGTTTAGGGGTTTGGAGGTTCAGGGTTTCAGGTCATTTCAGGTTCTTGGCGAAGACTCTCGAAAGTTTAGGGTTTAGGGTTTGGGGCCTCCATTCAATAATTTGAATAGGGTTTGCAGAGGAGTAGTTCTACTCTAAGATGCAACGTACTATTTAGGGGCTCCTTATTACAACTATAGTCTGGTTATTGTAATAAGGAGCCCCTAATGTAGGGGCCTTAACAAGTAGAATAGGGTTTTGGGGGTTCCTTATTATATACCCCAAACCCTATTCTAACCATTAAGGCCCCTATACTCCTAGCCCCAAACCCTAAACCCCAAAGTAGCCCTTGCAGAAACCCTTCAAAGGAACCCAATTCTAACTATTAAGGCCCCTATACTCCTAGCCCTAAACCCTAAACCCTATAGTAGCCCTTGAAAGGAACCCTATTCTAACTATTGAGGCCCCCATACTAACTAGTACTTAGCCCCCCATCCGGAGCTGCTGAACCCTAAACCC